AATGAAATGGATAATCTTCACAGCATATCCATAGACTGCACAGATCTCTTCCCATGCATACATGGATTTCACATGCATAGCATACATGAACACACACACACACACTCGCGTGGAGATCGTCAATGGCTCTGGATTTTAAAGTACTACATGTGTTCTATTAAGGGTGGCATAGAGGGTATACCCCCATACGTACACAGCTGGGAGAATGGCCATCACGGGCAAAATATACAGAATGAGATAAGAAGAATGTCGAGCGGCAAAGATGCTTTGTGCCATCACTGCACTATCAAAGACACACATAAGTATGATTGGAGAAAGAGAGGCTAAATATTTCACTGTCAGAGAAGGTATGGAACTGCAATTCATTTCTATCTCATGTGCTTTAGGACAATGACAATTTAATACAATGCCGGTGGATGTAAAAGAGATAACAACTGAACAAACTGGGCCAGGGTAATCAAAGATTTTCTCCAGAGAACTGGCTAGGGCCGGGGCTCACGCGCACTTACAGCAGATCAACATTGCATTGTCTCAGCCATGAACTGGTTAGGAAGCAAGAGTCAGAGCAACACTTCACTGCTGGGGTGACTTCAAAGTTCTAGCAAGATCTCTTACATGCTCTCCTCTCACTGCCAGACCTGGTAGGGCATTTTTCAAAGTTGATTTGAGATGAATTGATTTAGCTATTAATTGCCACTTGCAAGGAAAAGTATCAGCTCTAAGTCCGCACTGTGATTTCTCTTAGGAAATGAAATAAAGCAAGACCTTCAGGACAGAATTCTCACTTCCCGAGTTAGACAAAAAAAAATATTTAGTTTGTTCACTAGGCTAAAACAAATGTTAAGAAATTTCTCATAAGTGATTCGGACATGGGATTGCACATTAAGCCTACCTTTAAAAAAAAAAAGTCTCTTCTTTGTCTGAAATTCTTGCAGAATTGAGGTACTGTGAAAGTATTGTTAAAGAACATCATAGAGAAGTTAGCTGCCCTCTTTGATGAATAGCACCAGGTATCTAAAATTAATTGCAAAAGTATGGCCCGGCTAATGAGATGGTCCTTATCTTTTCTCAGCATTGGAAGCACAAGTATTTTTCTGCTGGCTCAATATTTTACAAAAATGCCTCAAGTGTTATTAGCTAAGTAAGAACCTGATCCAAAGACCTTTCAGATACAAATTATTATAAATTTTAAGATCTGGAAAATTTGCAGTTAAAACAGATATCCTGCATTCTTTTCCTGTTAAGCCCTAATTTCTTGTCTTTTTTACTTTGAAAGGAACAATTTTTTTTCCCTTCTTCCTTTTATTAGCATTTTGAAAAACCAAATTAGAATACCATTCTTCATAAGAAGGCCAATATATATTACAGGTCAAATTAAATCAAAGAAATATATTAAAAGCTGCCTATTTAGAATTTTTTTTTAAAAAAAGAAGAATACTATCTTATTGGGGGAAAAACACTAGAAAAATGATCATCCATGCAAGAGAATTAATGGATATCCACAAGGGCTTTGCTAATAACATGGGTTAATTACCGCTGCAACACACTCGGCTCAGTAAATAAAACAGCAGTGCCATGAACACATTCAGATGAGAAACCATCACTCTAAGAAGTGGCCACACCGTCCCCTTTGCCTCTGCCCAGGAAATGGAAAGCTGTTTTTACAGCCCTTTCTCCAAAAGGAGGATTTTTCAACTTACCACCAAATGTGCATGGGGTAATACACAACATCCTGACACAAAGGGCTGGCGGAACCTGGTTGTCCATCATTGGCTCACCACTCCCATTCAACATTCATCCCATTAACTTAGGGACACTTCAGTTTTCATTATTATTTTTCTTAATTCAAGGAGAAAATCGTATGTTACATAACATACATCATCTGGCTATTTCAACTAACAAATAGTTTAGGACATGTACAATGATTATTTAGTTTTCTAGGAAAAAAAAGAATCTGTTCACTGTCGTGATGTGACGGGCAGGGCTGCAACATTCTAGAGCTCACCCCTCTGCGAAGGCAGGCTCAGCCCTAGCTGTGGCTGGTTGTCACTTGAGCAGTTTACAAAAAAAAAAAAAAAAAAATCATCTGAAAACCCCACCAACACCACATACCTGTAAGGCTGCAGATGATTTCAACAGATTTAGAGAGAACAGCAAGAAAAGTAAAATGAGCTCCAAGTCTCAAGTTTTAACTCTTCTTGCTTAGAAAAATCAACTTAAAGTGCCTGTTCATAGTTGTCAAATAATACCACATCTGAAGTGACTTGGGGAAAGCTCCTCACTTTCCTTTAAAAAAAAAAAAAAGGCTTCCACTGTGATTTAGATGTTGTTGTTACAGAATAATTTTTCCCTTTCTGCCTAGTTTCATTTCCTACGTTTTGACATGAGGGTATCACTTTTGAGAGTTACATTGCTATTAAGTTTAGCTTCGAATAAGGAGAGAAGAGCAGAGAGAAAGAGAGAGGAGAGAGAAAACAACAAACAAACCTGAAAGAAAAAGAGTTGACCACACAAAATCAAACTTCAATGGCTCTGAACAGGAATCACAAAATACAAAACTGCTAAATGTGCAGTGTCCAGATTTCAATGAGCAGGCTGAATTTTACTAAACTGTTCCCTCTTCGCCTTGTCTGTTTTGGAGTGTTTCAATTGCCTTTCCTTCTTCCAACAGCTGTGACAACTGTTAAAACAGTCGGTAAAATTAAGTCCGCTCTATAATCCTGTAGTCAATGTTACATTTTAATCAGAGGTTGAAAGGGATTCATGCGCTGAGCACACTCATTTACAATGATTAGACTGACACATATGTCAAAATGAGCAGATATATTATTTTCATCTATTTATGCTATCAGCTATGACTGCTATTAAATGTGAAACAAGCTTTCAAGCCTTATGTGCTTTAATGCGCTGGCACATTTCCTAAAATAAAAAAATACATAGTTAGAGGTTAACATGTTAGACTCTCTTAATGGTGGTCAATAAATTGTACAAATCTTTTCTAACAGGCTCCAAAGCAAAAGCTGTCCGATGTTTTCCCCTGAACTGCACGACACTGGTTTCATTTCTGTGTATACGCACACGTGATGGGGTTTAACCCAGTACAATTACTATGAATATTAATAGCATGTATAAATTCCGTGGTTTATTAATTGAGACAGAGAGACAGATGTGTTGCTTAGCATTGGGTCTGTCTGTCCAGTGAACCACATAACCATGAGAACCACATCTAGACAATAAACCTGTATTTTTAAAAGATGACTTTTAATTGAGCCAAAAAGAGAGCTAGTTTGAATCTTGCGCCAAAGCCAAGGAGACGTGTGCCCCGATTTCATTTAAATGCATCTGCTTTAAGAGGCTTATCTAAACTAATTATTCAAATTAGCTATCTAAGAAGTTAAATTCAAGAAAACCACTTTTAAAAAGATGCGGGGGTGGAAGAGGAGAATTTTTAAAGTTTGGTTTGCTTATTTATTTATGAGAGAAAGTTTAGAATCCGGGTGAGCCTGGCTAAGTCTCCTCCTGGCCTGAAGACGTTTTCAACTTCCCGAGCCCCAGGTATAGGAACCTTCAACCTGCACTTGAGTGGGCAGTCCTGTCTTTGTTTAGTTTTCATTTTTATTTTTGCATATTGGAAGGCTGTTTCTCCCCGTGAATGTTTCAAACTGATGCAAGCACACCCTGATACCCCTTCAATTTTGCATTCTTTCAGTTGGCCAACATCTCGTGGGGGAGTGTGGCTGTGGGGGCAGTGCGCGTGGGCGTACGCCTGCATGTGTACACACGCACAGACACACACCCGGACATACTTGAGCAGCTTGCACTTTTCATTTCTTATTTAATTACTAAGCTACGCAAAGCGCAGTCACTAAGGACAGCTAGTGGACATCTACCCACAGTGCACGGCCCCATTCTCTAGAGCTTAATATTTTCTAAACAATCTACGCAGGGAAATGTTTGCCAACAACACTGTTTTCAGAATGAGAACTCTTGGTATTAATGTAATGTTCAAGAGAAGCAGTATAACTGACTCAACAGAAAGAGAGAGAAACCAGTGACAATCCCTGCGATGTACTAATATTTTATCTGAACAGTGGGTTGAAATTAAGTTTATGACCTGCTCCTTTACCCAAGAACGCCTAATGTACTGCTTCCCCTCGCCCGCACCCCCTCCACCTTTAGCAATTTGAATAGGTATTCCTGTGTGGATATGGATCATCGTAAATACAAATGAAACTGCAATTAAGAACGAAAGTACTTTTCTACATTTTTTTTTTTCTGGCCAGGAAACACAAAACAAATCCACAATCCTAACACCGTCCCTTTCAGAGGAGATTTTAAAAGTCATTACTGCTTCTTCCTGAGTCTTTCCCCCCCTTAAATATTTATAATGTGTGAAAATCTCATGTTACTTAATGGACTGATTTGTCAGTTAACTGCTGACTTAATGCTAACCATGCAAATAACATTATTCTAGCCCAGAATCGCACAGGGCTAGTTTTGAAATTGTTCTCTGAAGGAGAATTAGTCAATGTGCAATTTGCCCTCGTGCTGAAATGACAGGGAGCCTCAAATATCTGTCAACCTGCAAATACATAAGAGGCACTCAATAGTATAAATCATTTTGAATATTGTATTTTAAAACATCTTTCCTTGGGAAAATGGGTCCTAATAAAAGATGCATTTTAACAGTTCACTAAGCATTTATGCCAAGTGCCTATTCTTAGCACCTGAATAAGAAGTGACTGTCACACAGCTGTTTCACTGCCAGTCACTGAGCTTGCCTCAAAGGTAACCCAGCAGTCAGAGAACAATTCTCTACTTCCTGAATTAGGAGCTCACCCTCCACACAAAAGGCACAAGAAAGACACAAACAGGCACTCGTGCACACACGAAACACCCAGGGCATTACCTGAACCAGGGTGCGAAGATACATCCTGTCCACCCCCGCACACGCACCCCCACGCCGAGTGGGAAAAAAAAAAAAAGAAAAAGGTACCTACTCTTCCTCGTAGTGCAGGGAAAAAGATTCAGGAAGGCAAAGTTCTACCGAATCCATGTGCGACCGGCAACCATTATTTGTGTACCCCAGCTATAAATCAAAGTTTCCTTGACAGAGCACGGTGCAATTAACACAAATGTTCTCCTAGTGACAAGCCTATAGGCACAGCCAGTTGGGACCAAAGCTCTCACACTCTCCTAATCAAGGACTTAAAGCCCCGATTGGAGCTTATTAATATGAAGTAGAGCTTCGCATATGCAGTCCCACCGGCCCAAGCGCGCAGCCGATTGGGGGGCCTCTGCCCAATCAGGAGGGAGGCGACGCAGGCTGCACGGAGCCGGAGGAGCCAGGCAGGTAGAGCGGTGCAGAGCAGCCAGGGGGTGGTGAACTGAGCTGAGCCGGCAGAGGCGGCGGGGCCGGCCGGAGGGGGCCGGCCGGAGGGGGCCGGCTCGGCTGCTCTCTCTCTCTCTCTCTCTCTCTCTCTCTCTCTCTCTCTCTCTCTCTCTCTCTCTCTCTCTCTCTCTCTCTCTCTCTCTCCTTCCCTCCCTCCCCTCACCCCCCCACCCCACCCCCGTTTCTCCAGAAGAAACACAACTAACTTCACTCTCTAAGCACTGGAGGGATTTGCCTGTGGTTTCTAAGATCTGTGTGGCTTTGAAAAGAAGAACTCACGCAGACTCTGTTAATGTGGGAAAGGATTCTGCGGAAGGTAGATAGAACCCCCAAGTTTGTCCTGCCCTGTCTGTGTTCTGTTCCCCTGGGGGCCGCCGCTTCTGGGGTGCCGGACTTTCTCCCCGCTGTCCTGGCGTATAATGGACGTTTTTGTTGGTGGTGGTGGTGTGAGTGTGTGTGTGTGTGTGTGTGTGTGTGTGTGTGTGTGTGTTTAATAAAACACATCCCTCTAAATTGTTGAAGCGTGTAGACTGGCAGGGTCCTCTCAGAGATAAAATCCAGTTTTGCAAGGACTACAGGGGAGGAATTAGTGCATCCACGCACTTTGAGAGAATGCCTGTGTAAATTATGTGTGTAAACAGTTCGCTGCCTGTTCCTCTCTCCACATGGAGATACACAATATGAAGCTTTTCAAAACAAAAAGGAAACAACCTCCAAGGGAATTGGTTCCTTGGAGGCCAGCGGACTGAGGGCTGCAGGGTAAAGAAACACTAGTTTGGATGGGGAGAACTTTACTAAAAGTGTTCTTGATTATACACTGATTTTAATGCAGGTTTCTAAACTCAGAGATGCATACAAACGTATATGATTTTACCCCCAAAACGCCCAGCTTTCAAATAAAATACAGTGTACATATTTGTTTCTCTAATGCTTCCTATTTGCCTAGATACATTTTGTAAACCCTCACGCAGCCTTAAATACTAGTTTCAAACACAATGATTGACCAAACAAAAAAATTCCCAATCAAAAGTGTTCCCAAAAAACTAAGGTGTGAGAAGAAAGAGGTGTTGTTCCTCCTTTCATAGTGGATACGGCGCTTTTAATTTCTATTTGACAAAGAGCAGGCTGGAGTCTTATTTTAAACAAGATTTTTTTTTAGATGAGCAAATGCACATTGCGATAGACACATGCTATTTATGAACATCTTGTTAAGACCCCACATTTTGATATAATTCAGCTCTACTGTTTTGAGTCTCAGCTTTGCATATGACTTAACACAAATAATGTAAACTCTGAGATAAAATCCATGCAGCTTTTTTTCAGTGTGCATTAGATGAACAAAATCAGAACTCAAGTCTCACAGCCCTCTTTCATTTTCTAGGTCTTCAAAAATCAACACACCGAAGGAGGACTGCCCCATTAACACAGAGGGGAGAAAATGACAGCCGTGATGTGTTTCTCCCCCCACGCCCCCTGGAATAAAGCAATCTCCCTGCCCTGTATTTAGCCATGTCTAAGACACGGGCCCGACTCCTTTTATTTGTGGTCTAAATGCAATCAAGTTTCCAGACCCCAACTCACATAGCTAACACTGTGCCTGAGAACACTGTATAAAAGCAGGTAGTAAGAGCTTAATTACCAGTAGCATTATGCTGTCTATATTGTTAAATGTGAACTCTGCAATTAAGATGTAAATTTGGTTGTGAGCAGTGAATTAAAAGGCTTGGAGATGTAGAAAAGTCAGGCCTGCTGCAGCCACTCTCGTAAGGGGAAGAAAAAGACTTGTCTATTCATTCTAAAAGGAGAGACATGTAATCACTGGACAATTAAAAGAAATCAATAAAAAGGCATTTTGAAAAAGGAACATGACTTTTCAAAAATGCAATCAAAGACATATAGGAGCTAATCCTGCATTAGACAGGAAAACATCTTTGTTTTCTATTCTTACTTAAAATCTTGAATAGGTTTAATTGCACACTGTTTGAAAAGACATATGTTCCAAAAAAAAAATTCTAATTTTTGCCCAATATCATTTCTTAAGTAAAAATTATTTACTGGGCTCAATACATCATAGTGGACTCGATGCACGCACTACAATTTGAGACGTGTGCAGAGAACCTGTGCTGTATTCAGTTTCTTTACATTGTTATGCTGTGACAGAGCCTGTTTTTATTCCTCCTTTGAAATGGCTTTTTAAAGGCAAGATTTGTAGTCAATTATTTACTGACGGACCTTGGGCCATCATATTTTATAGAGGTGATTGTTTATTCCCCAGAATTTTCTTATTTCCCTTTCAGGGTGTTTCTGCTCTTTTTGGGAATCATTTGATTTCTTCCGTGTGTATTCTGAAACATATTTAGACTCATCTTCATGCATACATCTTCCTTCTGTGCCCACAGAGACACACACGCGAACACGTACGCTCTCGTCCCCACTGATCTTGCACTCACCATATTTCATCTACGGAGGGGCAGTGTTCCCTGAGCGTGCCGCTTTCTGCAGGACCAGAAGTATATTAGGTTTGTGGAGCTGGATGTTTTCCCCTTGGGATCAAAGTGTCACCTGTATCGGTCAAGGGCCTAAGATTATACTTAGAATCTTGAATCCAGCATCACCAATTTAAAATTTAAAATCATACCCACTGCCCAGGCCTTTGAAGACAGCTTTCTAGCATATTTTATAAACCCATAGCTCAGTAGCTCAAAAATCTTCCTTATCCTAGAAGTTTCTCACCTCGAAGGTGAAAGGAAGAGAGTATCATAGCGAAATAGAGTAATACTGTTGTTTAGCCTTCAAGAAACTCAACTGCGAAAGCATGTGGAGTATGTGTTTTGGGGCAGGGTGTTTGTGTGTGTGTACAGGGGGAGCGGGCAGGGGGTGACTATCAAACACAGAAACAGCATGTAATAAACCCAGAGTGCTAAGCAGTCCATTCACTTCACAATCTTACCACAAGGAGTCAACCCAAATCAGGAAAAAAAAAATGGATTCAAGCAACAAAACGTCATCTGCCAGTTTCAAAAAGAATATTAGCACGCTGGTTAATATCAGTCTGTCACGCATCACACCATCGCTATAGGCATAGTTTCTCTTTTCTTCCTTAAACAATAGTTACCAGTAGTCCGACAACTTCACTCCCCATGTTCCCAGGTAATGCACAGATACACCAAAGACACCAAGCATTTGCTTTCCATTTGAAACAAAGGAGGGGCACCAGGGCCTCTCCTGTGAAGAGAAAAGGTGGAGTCCTATCAGTTGCACAAACTACGCATTTTTACTGCGCCTTAACCAGCACCATTGCCACCAGCATACTGACAATGGTTTTTATGCTGTTAAACAAAGTGGTGAGAGATGGTAAGTTTACTGTTAATAGTTATTTTTAGCTCTCATTTTCTTTATCTGATAATTAATAGGACTAATCTGTAGTAAACTGGTTAAAGCTTATCTATGTCATTTTTGAAGCAGATTTAGATTCTGCAAAGAGACCTACATAGAGTTCATGGAAAATGTACTTACAAAAAACAATGCCTGGATTTTGAATAAACCTGCTTTTTAATTCAATTTTTTTGTGAACTTATTGAAGTTTCCTCCAATAATGCACATGGTTCATTTGCTAAACATTTAAAACTAAACAAGTTCAAGCAATTTGGAGCTTTAAATCACTTTGTGATCTACCTTCCAGATTTTTCTGCCAGATCATAAAACCTTTGAGAACCTGTTTAACTTCTTGCACCATCTTCCCTGCGCCCTTTGAGGAAGCTTGCATAGTATATCTCACTGCAAAAAACACGCCGGGGCTATTTCAGTTTACTATGTTGAGCTCCAAGGGAAAAGCCACATTTTCTCCCATTAAAGAAAAAGCCCTTAAAGGATAGGCACAAAGGTCCGGATGCCATCCTTGCCGCCTTGTAAGGTCCCCTCACCGACTCATCCCGGATCTTCATCTACGCACTGGCATCTCTATTGTACTCTAACCTGCCCACCTTTCCCACTGAGAGCACACAGACTTCTTTGGAAGTCAGGATGACTACTTTGTATTACCACCAACCCTCTATCAATTCATCATATTTCATTTTCTGTTGCCTTTCATTTCTAGGGCACAGGCTTTGATATTTAAATTATTGTCTCCATTGGCAAGAAGCAATCATTTCCACTGAAAGTGATCACTTCCACAGAAGCACTAATAAAAATCTTTCCTTTTGATAAAGCTCTTGTCCTATAAATCCATCCCATTCCCAAATTATGGAGTCAAGAAAAAAAAAAAAGGCCCATTATCTAGAGAGCAATTGCTTCACCTTAATAATACAACAAACTTGGGTTCTGATGTTTTTGTGAACGTGAAAGAAAAAAAATTATAATCAGAGACACAAAATCTAATAGAAATAATTTGGCTCCTGTTTAATTAATTCAGGATTATTTCCCTTTCATTTTGTCAAGCTAATAATATACATGGTGAAATGTCAGTAAAAATTAAAGTATAAACTACAGTAGCTCCAATGGGACAATCGACTTTAGTTATACTGTACTTCCAACACACTCATCAGACCAAAATACAAAGTGTGTTTTATGGCATCCTACAGAGTTTCAGTAATCTCTATGGCACATATTTACAGGGTGCTAGTTAACATTTTGAGATTATACATTAATAAATGAGTTGCAGTCATATTCTTTCCTGAATGTTAAGCACTGTGAGCTAAATGCAAAAATACATTCAAGGTCAATGTCCCGTTTTAGACCTTTTCAGGCAGCTGTAATATTATGATAATCAAGCTTCAAATATTCCTATAGAAAGAGTAAATTAGCCTTTTCA